ATTAACAGCAACACAATAATAGTAGGGAACCTTAACACTGCACTTTCATCAATGGATAGATCATCCAAACAGAAAGTCAACAAGGAAATAGTGGAACTAAACGAAAAACTACACCAGATGGACTTAGGTATATAGAGAACACTCCATCCAAAATCAGCAGAATATACCTTCTTCTCAAATGGGTACAGAACATTCTCAAAGAGAGACCATTATGTTGGGAAACAGGGCAAGCTTCAATAAATTTAACGAGATTGAAATCATATGAAGCATCTTTTCAGACCATAATGCTGTGAAACTAGAAATCAACTACAAGAAAAACGCTGGGACATGACAAATATGTAGAGACTGACCAACAGGTTACTGAACAGCCAATGAATCATTGATGAAATTAAAGGATAAATAAAAAAACATCTAGAGACAAATGACAATTAAAATACACCAGACCAACACATATGGGATGCAGCAAAAACGTGACTAAGAGGGAAATTCACAGCAATACAGGACCAACTTAACAAACAAGAAAAATCTCAAATAAGCAATCTCAAGGTACACGTAACAGAATTAGAAAAAGAAGAACAATCAAAGCCCAAAGTCAGTAGAAAGAGGGAAATAATAAAAATTACAGCAGAAATAAATGAAATTGAAACCACAAAAACAGTAGAAAGGACCAATGAAACTAAGAGCTGGTTCTTTGAGAAGATAAACAAAACTGACAAGCCCTTAGCCAGACTTACTAAGAAAAAAACAGAGAAGGTTCAAATAAATGAAATTAGAAATGAAAAAGGAGAAATTACAATGGATAACACAGAAATACAAAGGATTATAAGAGAACAAAATGAAAAACTAAATGCCAACAAATGGGACAATCTAGAAGAAATGGATAAATTCTTAGATTTATACAACCTCCAAAAACTGAACCAAGAAGAAATGGAGAATCTGAATAGACCAGTAACAAGTAAAGAGACTGAAACAGTAATCAAAAACTCCCAAAAAATAAAAGTCCAGGACCAGACAGCTTCTCTGGAGAATTCTACCAAACATTCAAAGAAGATTTAGTACCTATCTTTCTCAAACTATTCCAAAAACTTGAAGAAGACAGAACACTTCCTAACACATTTTATGAGGCCAACATCACCCCAATCCCAAAGCCAGACAAGGACAACACAAAGAAGGAAAATTACAGGCCAATATCACCGATGACCATAGATGCAAAAATCCTCAACAAAATATTAGGAAACTGACTACAGGAATATATCAAAAGGATCATCCAAACATACATACATACATACATACATACATGATCAAGTGGGATTTACACCAGAGACCCAGGGATGGTTCAGCTTCCAGAAATCAATCAATGTGATACACCACATCAACAAAATGAGGAATACAAACCACATGATCATCTCAATAGATGCTGAGGAAGCATGTGACAAGATCCAACATACATTTATGATAAAAAGTCTCAACAAAGTAAGTATGGAAGGAAAGTACCTCAACAGAGGGGGCCAGCCCAGTGGTGCAGCGGTTAAGTTCATACGTTCCGCTTCTCGGTGGCCCGGGGTTCACCGGTTCAGATTCCAGGTGCGGACATGGCACCGCTTGGCAAAAACCATGCTGTGGTAGGCGTCCCATGTATAAAGTAGACGAAGACGGGTGTGGATGTTAAGTCAGGGCCAGTCTTCCTCAGAAAAAAGAGCAAAACTGGCAGTAGTTAGCTCAGGGCTAAACTTCCTCAAAAAAAAAAAAAAGAAAGTACCTCAACATAATAAAGTCCATATATGACAAGCCTACAGCCAACATTATGCTCAATGGGGAAAACTGAAAGCCATCCCTCTGAGAGCAGGAACAAGACAAGGGTGCCCACACTTGCCACTCTTACTCAACATAGTACTGGAGGTTTTGGCCAGAGCAATTTGGCAAAAGAAAGAAATAAAAGGAGTCCAAACTGGTAAGGAAGAAGTGAAACTCTGTAGATGACATGATCTTATAGATAGAAAATGCTAAAGAATCCACTGGAAAGCTATTAGAAATAATCAACTACAGCAAAGTTGCTGGGTACAAAATCAACTTTTAAAAATCGGTTGCATTTCTATACTCTAATAACGAACTAACAGAGAGAGAACTTCAGAATACAATCCCATTTATAATCGCAACAAAAAGACTAAAACGTCTAGGAATAAATTTAACCAAGGAGATGAAAGACTGATACACTGAAAACTCTAAAATGTTATTGAAAGAAATCAAGGATGACAAAGAAATGGAAATATATTCTATGCACACGGATTGGAAGAATAAACATGGTTAAAATGTCCATACTATCTAAAGCAATCAACAGATTCAATGCAATCCCAATCAGAATCCCAGTGACATTCATCACGGAAATAGAAAAACGAATCCTGAAATTCATAGGGGGCAACAAAAGACCTCAAATAGCTAAAGCAATTCTGAGAAAAAAGATCAAATCTGGAGGCATCACAATCCCTGACTTTAAAATATACCACAAAGATATAGTAATCAAAACAGCATGGTACTAATAGGAAAACACACACACAGATCAATGGAACAGAACTGAAAGCCCAGAAATAAAACCACACATCTACGGACAGGTAATCTTCAACAAAGGAGCCAAGAACATACACTGGAGAAAGGAAAGTCTCTTCAATAAATCATGTTGGGAAAACTGGAAAGCCACACACAAAGGAATGAAACCAGACCCTTATGTTTCACCACACACAAAAATTAACTCAAAACGGATCAAAGATTAAGATAAAGGTAAGACGTGAAACCACAGAACTCCTGGAAAAAAATACAGGCAGTACACTCTTTGACATCAGTCTTAAAAAAGTCTTTTCCAATACCATGTCTATTCGGGCAAGGGAAACAAAAGAAAAATAAACAGATGGGACTTCATTAGACTAAAGGGCTTGTGCAAGGCAAAGGAAACCATGAATAAAACGGAAAGACAACCCAACAACTGGGAGAAAGTATTTGCAAATCATATATCCGACAAGGGGTTAATCTCCAAAATAAAGAACCCATACAACACAACAACAAAAAAGCAAACATGCTCAAAAAATGCACAGAGGATATGAACAGACATTTTTCCAAAGAAGATTTACAGGTGGCCAACAGGCACGTGAAAAGATGTTCAACATCACTAATTATCAGGGAAATGCAAATCAAAACTACAGTGAGATATCACCTTATACCTGTTAGAATAATTAGCAAGACAAAAACAACAAATATTTGAAAGGACGTGGAAAAAGGGAACCTTCATACGCTGCTGGTGGGAGTGCAAACTGGTGCAGCCACTATGGGAAACAGTATGGAGATTGCTCAAAAAATTAAAAACAGAAATACAAAATGACTCAGCTATTCCACTACTGGGTCTTTATCCAAAGAACATGAAATCAACAATTCAGAGACTTACGCACCCCTATGTTCACAGCAGCATTATTCACAATAGCCAAGACGTGGAAGAAACCTAAGTGCCCATCCACTGAGGAATGGATAAAGAAGATCTGTAAAGAATAGATATATGTACACAACGGAATACTACTCAGCCATAAAAAAGACAAAATTGGGAGCCGGCCTCCTGGCCTAGTGGTTAAGTTCGCACGCTCCACTGCAGGTGACCCAGTGTTTTGTCGGTTCAAACCCTGGGCACAGACATGGCACCACTCATCGAGCCATGCTGAGGTGGCATCCCACATGCCACAACTAGAAGGACCCACAACTAAGAATATACAACTATGTACTGGGGGTCTTTGGGGAGAAAAAGGAAAAAAAATAAAATCTTTAAAAAAAAAAAAGACAAAATTGTCCCATTTGCAACAGCATAGATGGAACTTGAGGGTATTATGTTAAGTGAAATAAGCCAGACAGAGAAAGAGAAATACCATATCATTTCACTCATATGTGGAAGACAAACACATGGATGAAGACAACAGATTAGTGGTTACCAGAGGGAAAGGGGGTTGGGGAATGGGCATAAGGGGTAAAGGGGCACATACACATGGTGACTGACAAATAATATACACCTGAAATTTCACAATGTTATAAACTATTATGACCTCAATAAAAAAAAAAAAAACCAGTACATATAGGGTTTGGTTCTATTCACAGTTTCAGGCATCCACTGGGGGTCTCAGAATGTATCCCCCATGGATAAGGGGGGACTACCGTAGTCAAATTCAAAATACTCCAATACTGCAATGGTGGTGTGTCAACCACTTTCAACTCTAGCATATAGGTTAAAAGACATAAGTACTGAAAATAACTTATAGCTACAATAGTTTGTTAATGGACACATAATATAAAAAGATGTAAATTATGACATCAACAATATAAAATGTGGTGGGGGGCAAGTCAATGTGTAGAATCTCTTATGCAATTAAAGTTAACTAGTTATCAGCTTAAAAGAGACTATCCTAAGTTGTACTACGAAAGCCTCATGGAAATCATAAAGCAAAAACTTACAACAGATACACTAAAGATAAAGAGAAAGAATCCAAGCATACCACTATAAAAATCATCAATTCAAAAAGAAAGACAACAACAGAAGAAGAAAGAAACAATCAGAGAACAAGTAACAAAATGGTGATAGTCTTTATCTATCAATAATTACCATAAAGGTAAATGGTTTAAATTCTCTAATTAAAAGACACAAAAGTGGCTGAGGATAAAAAAAAAATAAGACCCAACTATACGCTGCCTACAGGGACTAACTTAAGCTGTAAGACAGTCATAGGCTAAAACTGGAGACACGGCAAAGACATTCCATGCAAATGGAAACCAAAAGAGAGTAGGGGTAGCTATACGTAATATACTTATGTATACTTAATATAAGGCAAAATAGAATTTCAGTCAAAAGTTGTAACAAGAGACAAAGGAAGGTCATTATATAAAGACAAAGGAATCAATTCATCAAGAGGATACAACAATTACAAATATATACATATATACATACCCCATATCAGAGCACCTAAATATATTAAATAATTATTAACACATGGGAAGTCAGAAACAGCAATACAATAATGGTAGCAGAGTTCAATACCCTACTTTCAACAACAGATATCATCCAGAGAGAAAATCACTAAGAAAATAATGGACTTGAACTACACCTTACACCAAATTGATCTAACAACATGTACAGAACATGCCATCCAACAGCAGCAAAATATACAGGCATACTTCGTTTTATTGCGCTCTGCTTTACTGCACTTCACAGGTGTTGCATTTTTTCACAAAGTGAAGGTTTGTGGCAACCCTGTATGGAGCAAGTGTGTCTATGGAGCATTTTTCCAACATCATTTGCTCACTTCGTGTCTCTGTGTCACATTTTGGTAATTCATGCAACATTTCAAACTTTTTCATCATTACTATTATATTTGTTATGGTGACCTTTGATCAGTGATTTTTGATGTTACTATTGTAATTGTTTAGGGGCGCCACAGACCGTGCTCATGTAATACAGTGAACTTAATTGATAAATACTGTGTGTGCTCTGACTGCTCCACTGACCAGTCATTCCTCCATCTCTCTCCCTCTCCTCAGGCCTTCCTATTCCCCAAGACACAACAATACTGAAATTAGGCCAATTAATAACCCTAAAATAGCCTCTAAGTGTTCAACTGAAAGGAAGAGTAACATGTGTCTCACTTTACATCAAAAGCAAGAAATGATTACGTTTAGTGAGGGAGGTATGTTGAAAGCTGAGATAGGCCAAATGCTAGGCCTTTTGCGTCAAATGGTTAGCTAAGTCGTAAATCCAAAGAAAAAGTTCTTCAAAGAAATTAAAAGTGCTACTTCGATGAACACACAAATGACAAGAAAATGAAACAGCCTTATTGCTGATAGGGAGACAGCTTTAGTGGTCTGGATAGAAGATCAAACCAGTCACCACATTCCCTTAAGCCAGAGCCTAATCCAGAGCAAGGCCCTAACTCTCTTCAATTCTATGAAGGCTGAGAGAGGTGAGGAAGCTGCAGAAGAAAAGTCTAAAGCTAGCAGAGGCTGGTTCATGAGGCTTACGGAAAGAAGCCGTCTCCATAACACAAAAGTGCAAGGCAAAGCAGCAAGCGCTGACGGAGAAGCTGCAGCAAGTTCTCCAGAAGATCTGGCGAAGAGAATCACTGAAGGTGGCCACACTAAACAGCAGATTATCAATGTAGACTAAACAGCCTTACGTGAGAAGACGCCATCCAAGCCTTTCACAGCCATTCAAAGGACAGGCTGACTCTCCTGTAAGGGGCTAATAACAGCTTGTGACTTTAAGTTGAAGCCAAGCTCATTTACCATTCTGGAAATCCTAGGGACCTTAAAATTTACGCTGATTCTGTATGAATTTTAGGATAATCTTTTCTATTTGTGTAGAAAATTTCATTGAAATTTTGATAGGAATTGCATTTAATCTGTAGATCTCTTTGAGTAGTAAGGATGTTTTAATAATATCAGTTCTTCCAATTCAAGAACACGAGATATCTTTCTATTTATTTGTGTCTTCAGTTTCTTTCATCAGTGTCTTATTTCAGTGTACCGTATAGTTACCTCAAAATCCTCAACAAAAGCCTAGCAAACCAAATTCAAGAGCACACTAAAGCAATCATACACCATGATCAAGAGGGATTTACCCCGGGATGCAAGGATGTACCAACACACGCAAATCAATCAATGTGCTACACCATATTAACAGAATGAAGGATAAAAACCATATGAACACTTCAATAGATGCAGAAAAAGCAACTGAGAAAATTCAACATCCTTTCATGACAAAAACTCACAACAAATTAGGTGTACAAGGAATGTTCCTCAACATAATAAAGGCTATATATGACAAGCCAACAGCTACCAGCTAACATCATACTCAACGGTCAAAAGTTAAAGCCTCTCCTCTAAGATTAGGAATAAGATAAGAATGCCCACTCTTGCCACTTTTATTAAAGACAGTACTGGAAGTCCTAGCCATAGCAATTAGGCAAGAAAAAGAAATAAAAGGCACACAAATTGAAAGAAAGAAATAAAATTATCTGTTCGTAGATTTTATGATCTTAGATACAGAAAACCCAAAGACTTCACTAAAAAATTGTTAAAACTAATAAATGAATTCAGTAAAGTTGCAGGATACAAATCAATAATTAAAAATCTGTTGCATTTCTATGCACTAACAACAAACTATCAGAAAGAGAAATTAAGTAGACAATCCCATTTAGAACTGTACCCAAAACAAATGATAATACCACAGTTCATGGTAATTCTACCATCTCTAACTTTGTTCCTTGATGAGTCAAAAGCCCTGTGGTAAGACGTGAGGTACAGCAAGAACGGAGACACAACTTAGCAAACAGTCTTGGTGTTTTCTGGTTTGGGCAAGGGGGTTAAGAGAAGAAAGGACATCTCTGTGGTCATCAAAACGGGATAATACTTGAAATTTGGTACATGAATCGATTAAAAATTATTGTGGTTGCATGAATAAACCTTAAAACTTTAAATTTATTTTCATTTGCAACTTTAATAAATATTCTTTCAATTCTGAAGACGGGGACTCATAGGGGATGTGATACCCTAAAATCTCATGGGCTTTCAGAATCCTGCCTGTCAGGACATCAGCTGCATTTCAAAGACACAGGCACGGATGGAATGACGAGTGAAGCCTCTCAGAAGAGTAAGTGGAAAAATACCGAACAGTGTACTGTATTCAAGAAAAATCACTCCCCGCATTGTTATACTCTAACTAGATTCTGTTTTTATTCTCATGTAACTAGAGCATTCATGTTGGAACATTTTCAGTAAAATCAAATTGCAATGATCTGACTTTGACCCAGAGATTACATTATTTTCTGAGAAATACTTAGAAATGAGATCTCCATGATAGAAAATAGGTGTAGGAGAGGAGAAAGGGGATTGTTCTGCTTTAGCTCAATTTGTAGCAAACTGGAGTTGGGGTTTCTTTCTTTTTTAAGTTTGTAAAAGGAAGCTTCTTTCATAATATGTCTCAGGATATTATTTCCTTGGTGGGACTTCCTGATAAATAATGTAACCTAAGTGCTCAGGAAGTACCAATCCACTCCAGCTTTGTACTCTGTGGAGGGGTGGAGCTGGACCGAGCACGAAGCGATCACAGTCAGTTCCCTTTGGTGTCAATAAATAAAAACAACAAAAACTTCTGTTGCTCTAGTCCACATCACTACTATTCAACAGGCTTTACGTACGAACACTCAGAATGAGAAGACGACTCAGACAGAGGCAGAAAGAATCAGGAAGAGATAACAAGGGTTCTGGTTAAAAAACCGTCTGAGTTATGACATTTAAGGAGTGAGGGTGAGAAAGCAACAGCATCGATTGTTACGGGGAAAGCCCAAATACTGTGAGCACAGAAACCTAACTTGAGGAAGGATCTTGCAGAAATTTGATCACATTCTGGTTATCAGACACCCCCAAATAGAAATACAATGATACAGTTTTAAAGTAGAAAAAGACAGAGCATGGTCAATTCATACCCATTTTCATGACCATTTCTGAAAAGGCCTCCTGGCATACTAGATACAGTTTTGTTTTCTTTTAAATGATCAGGTTAGATTAAAGTGCCTAAGAAAGTTGAACACTATTGTTAATGCATGGATTAATAAAACCTTTTAGAAACCACTTGGACAAATTGCCTTTAAACCATGTACAAGATGAGATGTGAGATTCACAGTAAGTGAAGCACTGGGAACATCTGACTGGAAAATTCTTTCACATTTTCTCTTTATGACTAAGTTCCACTAGCAGTGTTTTCTAACTCCCATGACGAAACTGAGTTTTAGCTACTGAAAACTCCTACAATTAAAAACAAATACTATTAGAAAGTCTTTTCAATAAAATGCTTGATAGGTCAAGAAACCACTAACGTTTAGTATTCTGAAATACATCTTTTAAAACTCAAAATCATACACCTTGAATGAAGAAAGCAAAACTTACAGCTGCGATTTGCTCTCCAGTCTGGTCCTTACCATCTTTCATTTAAGAACATCCACGTCACAGGCCAAGAAGCCAACTGAAAGCGCCGGCTGCTTAGGCCAGTGAGAACGGTTCAGTATCTCAGGGTCAAATGGTTATTCCAATCAATGTGACCAATGCGCATTAGGTTGGAAGTGAAAGGTATTGTTCTTTAATAGATGACACCTGCTCTATCACTGTAACACTGCAAAAAAACAAAGATAACTTCTCGGTTCGTGTTGGAGAAAAGCTTGAATGTTTACATCCCCTACCAGCCTCGCTCTCCTTGAATATTCTCCTGGTATGTTTCCCTGGAACAGACAGATTCCCATTTCATAGCAGCTTTTAATGTCATCATGTATTAGTGGATGGGTGGGGAACTCAAATTTACCGATGGGCCTAATTTCTAATGCGAATCCTAGCAGAAAGATGAAAAGATTCCTAAATGCTTAGTATCCATTGAATCAATGCCACAGGGTTATGCTTTCAATGGGCTCTTTGCACTAGTTTGGTCATATGTTTGACATCCCAATGCATGTAGTTTTAACTCACTTTTGCTCACTCTTGATTGAGTGTGTATAAATATACATCCTCAAATAAACTACACTGTTCTCAGATTTTTCTATGTCCAAGGTACACTTTCTTGCATTTTGACATTCACTTGATTACAACATGAAATTTACAACATCTGAACTACTGCAGGACACAAAACACAGTTCTATCGAGTAGCGACTACTTCTCAGGTAAGACCTAAGTTCAGCTCCTGCACTGGACAATGGTTTGATCTCTCAATTTCACAGACAACTTCACAGTGACACACAAAACCTAAGCACATTTTCGGTTAGCCTGTGCTCTGAGAAATCTGAATCCAGATAAAAACGTGGTTTCCCCCTTACTGTCTGGCCACTGAAGCATGCTGTTCCCATCTGGTGTAGCAAAGTACTTTACAAGAAAGGAGTCCTTCTTTCTTGCAAAACCCAAACCATTTGCAAACCATCTGTGATGTCCATGCTGTGTCAGCACACCAGAAGCATCTGCTTCAAAGAGATTTTCTTACGTTGCTTTCCAACCATGGGCTCCATTCAAACTTTAGGCTAACCTTGTGCAGAGTGAGATTCCACCAGGCACAGACTTTTAACTTTTGAGTAGGAGTCAATATTTGCTAAATGTTCCATTTTGTAACTCTATCAACAAGCATTTCACAAAGCGCAATGAATGGGATGCTGCTCGTCCATGCCTCGCATCCTCAGGAAAGTACAAGGGGTTCTGGAAACCCTGACAGAGAGAGAAAATCAATTATTTCTCCCCCGGCTATTAATCAGCTCTTGCCGACTATTTATCTTACGTGTGATGATGACTAACATTCTCCGAACGGCAAGCAGACGCTCTTTAAGCGAGGTCATGCCAAATATAGCCAGCTGAGCCTTGCGTTCCAACGGCAACACTGCCAGGATCCACCAGGACCAAGCAGGACCACTAGGATTACTCTGCAAAAGAAAGGAAAAGAAACCACAAAATTATCGCCTAAAATACAAGCCTACCCCTCCAACACTGTCTTTTGTTTCACCAACAGACATATGAGCAAGAATTGAGTGCCACCTCCTAAGTTAGGTTTACTTCACAACTCATTCAGCCCTCGAAACACACAGTTTACTCTTATGCTACACATCTAAGTGGGGGGAACTCACAAAAGGGCTGCAAAGAGAAGTATCTTTCAATGCAGAACCCCAGCTGAGAACCAGGGAGGGGGGACTCTGGAGTCACCATGGTTTAGAGTGAGGTAGATTCTACTGAAAGATTAGGAGTCACACTGAGGACAAAGTGCACAGGGGCAGCCAAGCCACTATGAGGAAGGAACCGGCCTCCCTCCCAACTGTTAGAGAAAAACCCCTTCTATATGATTCACAACTCTCCTTTTCCGTCCTCATCTAACAGAGCAGGAAAAACTGAGTAGCATGCTTAATGGGAAGGGCTCGGCATAAAAATATCTCCCACATACCACCTACAATCTTCTGTGGTAGGAAGGAAAATGGTCTCCCAGAAGTGCCCACCCCCTAATCCCTGAAGCCTGTGCACATGGAGGCTTCCACGGCACAAGGGGCTCTGCAGATGTGAGTAAGTCAAGGACCTTGAGATGGAGAGGTCATGCTGGATGATCCTGGTGGGTTCTCCTTCAAGCAAGAGCTCTTCTGGGCCGTGGTCAGAGGAAGATGTGCACTATGGAAGAATGGTCAGAGAGGGCAACATTGCTGGCTTGGAAGATGGAAGAAGGGGCATGAACCAAGCAACGCCAGCAGCCTTTAGAAGGTAAAAAAGCTAAGGAAATGGATTCTCCTTTAGAACCTCCAGAAAGGAACAAAGTGCTGCCATCACCTTGCTCATAGCCCAATGAGACCTGTGTCTGATTTCTGACCTCCAGAACTGCAAGATAATAAACTTGTTTTGTTTGTTTGGTGAGGAAGACTGGCCCTGAGCTAACATCTGAGCCCATCTGCTCTAGTTTATATGTGGGTCGCTGCCATGGCATGGCTTGATGAGCAGTGTGTCGGTCCACGCCTGGGACCCAAACCTGCAAACCTCAGGCCACTGAAGTGCAGCACAGTGTACCGACCTTAACCACTACGCAACCAGGCCAGTCCCTAAATTTCTGTTGTTTAAGCCACTGTATTTGTGTAATTTGTTACAGCTATAATAAAAAGTTAATACCTCCCCCAATTAGAGATTAAGTTGGATTAATAAGCAAAAATCCCTACAAAAAGAATGATTCATACCTTAATTGGAGTTAGTCTAAGCACCTTTCTTTCTGAATCTGAGCTACAATACAGAGTAGGAAGAGGGGGTGATAAGAGTGGAGGGTGAGGAGGGACTCAGAGGCAATTTCTGGCTTAAAGCACTGTCTTGACTTTGGAAAAGACAGAACTCCGGTGGGGGTGAAAGAGAGAAGCCCTCAAAAGACAGGAAAAGACAAAAATGGATGGAAAAGACACAAAAGACATTTCATGTGACCCTGAACCCACTGAGAGCTGGTCCTGCTTCCCCACTTTCCCCAAGAGGGGTGTGTGTACAACGGAAACTGTGTGCTCTCAGCCACAACCCTAAACCATCCCTGCCTGGTTCTGTCACCCAGACACCGAGGAGAGGAGTTACCTGCACTTGGAAATGCTTCACACACCTGAAGCCCATTCGCTGCTTAAAAAACCAGCTTCACCAAAAGCCCTGCTGGGGGCACGAGCAGAAGCCAGTGACGACTGAATGGAAGGGACCACAAGGGCAGGGAAGCTCCTAATTTAACACGACTTAGGGGATCTGCTCTTCATTTAGTCAACACCTGTTTATTAGGGGCCAGGCAATGTGATGTGCCAAACGTGGAGTGTTGATGCCAATAAACTCAAATTACTATTTAAATCTTATGATGTTGGTGAGAGAAGTAAAAGCACAAAAGCTGACGGCCGATCAGAATAAACTGATTTGTGATAGAAAAGAAGTTATCTTTATGTAGCAGTAATCAGAAAACATTTATCGTTTTGCTCCAAGAGGCACATGCTACTGTATTAGGCACTTCCTGGGGGCTGCTAATAAATGAACTGATTCATAAGCAATCACAATGAAGTATATCACACAACAGTGCCACACACCACAACAGGAAGTAACAGCATTATATAAGAAAAAAGGAGAACGTACCTGAGGCTCAGGTTCCTGGCTGGCATTAACCCAAAATGACTTAAAATTTGCTCTTTCACGTGATCCTGAAGTGAAGTAAACCAGGAAACAGACTGTTGATCAACTGAATCCTGAAGACTGGTTAGTTCTTCATACTCTGCACCTTCCACCAGATCAAGGAAAGGAGACGACCATTTTCACAACTCGTTATTACACATGAAATACACTTAGTGACCTCTGCTGCCTCTGCTAAGTGGATTCGAGGTATCTGCTACTTTGATAACTCATTAGTGTTTTATAAACAAGACACATGCTCAACACAGAAACTGCACTTCTTTTTACATAGTCCAGATCTCTCTGTTCTCTATCACATCCTGATTTTTCTCTCAACAACTGTAGGCACATATCCCAGGTTATTACAAATAATTTTCATGGCTACATGCAATCATATTTGAGTTATACCATCATTTACTCTACCATTCACATAACCTATATTAAGGTTATTTCCAATTTTTCATTTTTAAAAATAACACAGTAATATAAACATTTATGCAAAAATGTTTTTTGTGGTGAAAGAACGGGCTGTCATTCCCTCAGGACAGTTTCCTAGAAGGAGAATTACCAAGTCAAAGAATTAGACATTTTAAAAATTGTATTCCATATTATCCAAAAGATATTTCAGCGACAATGCATTCACTGCATTAGCCTCATGTGAGTGGTGGGCCTGACACTTCAGATGTATCAGGCTTTGCTTCTGGGTACCTATCTCGCTGTCAAGTCGCTCATTTCAAGCATGTCTCAGTCCAATTTAGGAACACCTGAGTGGGAAGCGCAAGGACCGGGGATCAGGGGACCTGGATCTGTTCCGCCTTCATCACTGACTCATGTGAGTTTCAGCCAGTTGCACAGCCTCCTTAGGATAGAGTTTTCTCATCTGTAAACTGGGAATAAACCACTAAGATCCTCTCTAGCGATAAAATTCCAGTATCTATGAAAACTATAGTAAACTGAGGAATTAGATTATAATACATATAACCATTCTCAATTTGATCTATACAAATCAACTATTCGTATGTAGTGTATGGTTTTCTTTAAAAAAAGAACTAAAATCATTTCATGCTGTAGCTGTTTAGGCTCCCATTTTAAAATAAATACATACGCCATTCAAAGCCGTCATCCACAATAGTGGAAAAACCCTCCATCAGATTTGTCATCAGGGCAGCAGAGGGACCCAGAGAACTATCACCTCCAGTCACAGCCATTAAAACCAGCTCCTGGTCCCAAGACCTGGGAGCTGGGCTTGCTGTGCTCTGCTCCCCTGTGCTGCAAAGCACTGTGCTCACAGACGACCGCAGCAGCAGCTGGAAGGGGGCAGCTGGCACCGTAGTGTGATTCTATGCACAGGTGTTGAGAACGTACACTGCTGTCCCCAGAGTGACTTCCAGTGTGAGGCGAGATGGCTAAAGACTCACTTTCCTCATTTCTCAACATGAACCAAAGAATTCAAAAGAGGGATACAATAATTCCAAGGATTTCGCCCTTCTAAATACTTTTAACGTTTTTGTTGCAGCATAATTCACATACAAAAAATGCACAGATCTTAATGGCTTAGCTCGAAGAGTTTTGTCAACTGTACATTCCAGTGTAACCACCACTGTGAACAGGACAGAGAACATTTCAGTCACCTAGAAGGATTCCTGCATCCCCCTTCCAGTCACTTCCAACTCCCACCCCACAACCACCCTCTGACCTCTATCAGCAGTTACACCTGTTCTTGGAAGTGTATAAACAGATTCACACAGTAGGCATTTTTCACATCTGGCTCCTCCGTCTTAGCACAATGTCAGTGAGATTCATTCCTTTTTATTGCCAAGTATGAAGATACTATACTGTACTTACCCACTCACCTGTTGATGAGCATCTGAGCTGTTTCTAGTTTTTTGCAATTAACGAATAAGACTGCTATGGACATCCTCGTACAAGTCTTTTTGAGAATCCCTTCAAAATATTTTGTTACTCTGCCAAATTACGGATTCTGGTATTTCTATTAGCTACAATTTAATTCTTAAGGGGTAAGAGACCTAAGCCTTTTATACTTAGCTTTAGAAGGTAGTTTTCAGCACTACTGCTGCATGTCTCATTCTGAACTGATACCAGTTTTATCTAGACAAGGACTGACTACCGCTTGCAAATCAACTCCTGTTCATCAACATTTTACTGGAAACCAGTCATGCTGATTAGTTTACGTATCGTCTATGGCTGCTTCTCTGCTACAAGAGCAGAGTGAGGCAGTGGCAACAGACACCATGTGGCCTGGAAAGTCTGGAGTATTTATTGTGTGGCCTTTTCCAGAACAGTTTGGACTAGAACATTAAAACAAGGAATCCCAAATCCATTTTGCAATGTTCAGCAATAAGGAAATTTTTTCAGGAGGAGATTTTTCTACCAGCTCCAACTCAGGTAAAAATCCACTGAGATAAAAATGCCAAGTGCTGACTTAAGGAGGAAATAAGTAATACTGTCATCAGAAATTTGACCAAGTTTTTCCCCAGTGCTGAAGGAAATAAAGTGACTGACCTCTTTAACACACATCAGTAAAATAAACCTCACCTTTTCATCTTCGAGATATTCAATGTCTGCCGTGTTATACCCATCTCTGTGCCGGTGGCTTAAAACTCTAAACCGACTAATACCAACTGCATCCACAACCGAACTCTCATCAGGCAAGGTTCTCAGGTCCTTAATCTCCAGCATGCAGCCATACTCTGAAATCCTGAAAGGACAGTCAGGAGACACGACCCTGACTTAAAAAATGCAGGAGGTCTTATTTTTCCCTACATGAAAGTCTGGGTCTTAAAGGAATAAAAAACCAAACAAAACAAATGGTGTCTCCACACTGAACCACCAAGGTCATTTTCTCTAACAGACAGATGCAGATGACTCCTTCTGTTAAATGTGAAACACCCTGGTATGCGATGGCTGCAGAGGCAGGGCTGGAGGTGAGAGAGCACTTGTACCTCAGCTGTTCAAACAAGCTCGTGCTTTGAGAAGGACCCAAAAGATGGAGAGAGATGGAATCTTAAACCCTTAGCCCCCTTGGCCAGGGAGCAACCTCAAGAGCTCCAGAGAACACGTAGCCTGCCCAGGCCCCCGGGCTACTCACAATCTCTGCTCCCTCCGCTCCCACTTGCACGGACGCTGGTCAACTCTGCCCTCCCCAGCAAACTGCTATGGAAAGTCGTCTACAGTCACTGCCTTCATCTCCCTGTCTCCATTTCACTTCTCAATGCCCCCAAGCTCTATTGCAACGACCCCAGCAGAAGTCACAAATGACTTGGGCATGACCCTGCTGACCTGTCACTGACCCAACACCATCTGCTGCTCTCCTTCTGCCCTCCCTGACCAGTCCAGCCCTTGACAGCTTGCTTCCTTCACACGCCCCTTACACACTGGGGCTACCCAGGAAGGCATACTTGGCTACTTGTGTCCTCGCCCCAAGCTCTCCCAGCAATCTCACCCACTCTTGTGATTTCAACCGTCATCTGTAACCATCTGTATCGTGATGACACTGGTCTTGCCTATGATGTACCAAGCTCTACACACAGCAGTTCACAACACATACCCATTCAAGCTTCACAAAAACACGCAAGCTTAGAAAAATTAAGCCACTTATCTAAGGTCAAATAAGATTTACAGCCAAGATTTGAACCCAAGGCTGCCTGATTCTAAAGTGAGTGAACAACTTCACCATACACCTTCACTTAATGATGAGTGATGATTCCCAAGCTGCATGCCTGCATGGCCAGGTGCCTGCTGGACACTTCTACCGGGATCTCTAATAAAATTCTCTCTTCCTGGTTATGTAACAGGACTACTTTATCTATAGCTGTGGTGTGCATGGAAACACCCTGAAGATGCCTTCAAGGGAGGACTTGTTCCCCCAGCTATCAGCAGACAGCCTCAGCTGCAGAACCTGTCTCTCTCTTGTCTGTAGACATAAACCTGTGAGTGGGTACAAACTCCTCTTGCCATCTGCAGCTCTAAGGGGATCTCGACTCTCATGCTTGTCCACGTAAGGCCATTAGAAATTGTCAAAAAAATTAGCTGAATTCTTCCTACACGCTTGCATAGCTCCTCCTCCAGGCTCTGCCACAGGTGAGCCAGGGCTCTTGTCTCCTCTCTTCCTGGAGGGACCTGTCTTTCCTCTGTTACCCTGAGCAAGCTCCACTCTGACAGGTGCAAGAAATTTAGGTTCTGTAGTTTATCTGGAGTAACACTTTTCTCAGTGTTCTACATCCTTGGTTAGAAGTGGAACTTCTGGAACTTGCTTTTTCACTTTGCTTTTGCTCATTTTGATGAGTCAAATTTTAATATACTCAAATTTATTTATCTCTCCATCTATGCTATGTGCTCTCAGCATCCTCTGTAAAAAACAAAAAACGAAAAAAACCTTCTTTCCTTATTCCTAATTATAAAAATAGTCCCCAATATTTGCTCTTAAATTTTTTTATATTTTCTTCTTCACATTTCACACTGGGAATGTAAATGTGTTATTTTGTGTGTATGGCGTACGGCAGAGTAGAGATTTGTTTCCCCATGTGGATTACCCACTACTTTTCTGAGCACGTTTTATTGAGTAGTGTGCCTTTCTTTTCACAAAATTCCATATCAATTTGGAGTCCACACATGAGTGGATCTGTTTCTTATCTCTATTCTCTATTTCAATGGTCTACTTACTATAATTTCTAAGTCTGACATTGTAGGAATATTCTCCCATCTTGCTCAACGGTTTCTTCAAAACTGTCATGGTCTTGGTCTGTCTTTCACTTTTCCATACAGATTCTAAAATCAGCTTGAAGAATTCCATGAAAACACACTCTTGGGGTGTTGACTGCAACTACTCTGGATTTATAGACCAATTCGGGTAAAACTGGCATCTCTATGACACTGAGTCTATGCATCCATGAGCATGGTATTTCTCTGCATTTATGTAAATCTTCCTGAATGTCTTTCAATAAAGTTGTAGAATTTTCTCCATTGAGGTCCTAACACATATCTGTAGAAAGATCTGTTCCTGGGTATTTACGGTGGAAACTAGTGGGTGGCCCTAAATATCCAGTCTCCTCTCCCTCGTGAGCACACGGGTAGACGGCACTTCCCAGCCTCCTCTGCAGTGAGTGTGAGCAGCAGGGACGTGTGCCCCTTTTCTCCACAATTCTTTAAGAGCACGTGTGCCTCTTCCACAGCTAGAACTTGGATGTAGTGACCTCAGCATGATGATGCAGTGCTGACAAAGCCCTAGGGGATGAGGAAGCGAAGAGGTGGGAAGGACCCAGAGACCCCAAAGAAGCTCATGAGGGGAGCTGTCTGCTGATCTGGAACTTCTTCCCTAGAAAAATGATGCAAAACAAGGAAAGGTGAAAACCAAGTGCTGTGGGTTTTCATAAGACTGAAAATTTTGTGTGTATAAAGGAAGGTTTCTTGGAGGATGTAGTAAATTATTTTAGACCTTAAAAGTTGGACCAGATTGGTTTGTACATTGATGAGCTAGAAGAGAACTGCAGGCAGAGGAAAACATGGGGGTATGAAAACATGAACTGTATTCGGAGAAGGGCAAATGATATGGCAGTGGACTAGCAGGAATGACGTTTGAAAGGAAGGACTAGGAGACGGACAGAAAGAAGGCCGAGATCACATCATGGATGGCCTGGAATTTATACCTCGTTATGTAATGGGGGCTACTAGAGATTTTCACCATCATCCTAAACCATTCTTCAAGAAAAACGACAAATTATGCACTTAATTAGGACCCCATGAATGCTGATAATTCTCACCCTGCATGCTCAGAAGATAAATACATGCCAAACCGTTTGGTGCCAGTTTCCATGCATCTTCTTATCATAAGCCGATAGCGGGGCTCAAAGACGTGGAGAGGACACGCGACAGTGGGGAAGGCCATGGCACACACAAAGATGGGGACGTCTCTGGTCAGACTGTCGGTAAAGGAAAATGTTAACTTAGATGCAGGAGCTGTTAGAAACAGGAGGGAGTACCAGTCACTGTAAAGGAGCAAAAGCCAACCTCAATTTTCTCATTTTGAAAATAAAACCCTGAGGCCTGCAAGTTTTAAGTGGGGAAAAAAGCAAAGGACCACAGCATGAACAAGTTCCAACTCACCTGAGTTTCCTGCCAAGACTGTCTTATTTAATATGATGAGAGAATATGCTGAATTATTTTAGTTTACTTAGAGAAAGTTATAGCTTATGACCACTATAAAAAAATTCTGATGACCTTGAGGGCGTTATGCTAAGTGAAATAAGTCAGACAGAGAGACAAATACCCTATGATCTCACTCATATGTGGAATCTTAAAAAAAAGGGAAAAAAAAAGTGCCCAGCCACACGGCTGAGTGGTTAAAGTTCTGCGCACTCCACCTCGGCAGCCCAGGTTCGTGAGTTCAGATCCCAGGCACAGACCTGCTCCACTCACCGACCATGATGTGGTGGTGTCCCACATACAAAAAATAGAGGAAGAGTGACACAAATGTTAGCTCAGGGCGCATCTTCCTCAGCAAAAAAACAAAAAACAAAAAACCAAGCTCACAGATACAGATAAAAGACTGCTGGTTGCCAGAGGTGGGGGATGGGAGAAATGGGTGAAGGGATCAAAAGGTACAAACTTCCAGTCACAAAATAAATTAAGTCATGGGATGTAATATACAGAATGGTAACCACAGTTAATGATGCTTATTTGTATTGCATATTTGAAAGATGCTAACAGAGTACATCTTAGAAGTTCTCACAGCACGCACAAAAATTCTGTAACTATGTATGGTAACGGATGTTAACTAGACTTACTGTTGTGACCATTTTACAATATCACAAATATGGAATCATTATGTTGTACAGCTGAAACTAATATAATATGTCAATTATACCTCAATAAATAAGAAAAAAATTCTGATGAAAGCAAAAACTACATAGCAGTCAAAAGTAATGCATTCTAAATAAAAAAGAGTTGAAGAATTATAAGATCTCAATAGTTAAAGGTTACCACAACACAAAACTTCAATCACTTTAAAAGATAAAAAAAACTGGCAAGGCTACTTTGGTAATACTGTTTTCTGTTCTGTTTCTATATACTGTGCCTTCTCAATTATGAAAAATTCAGTATCACTTACATACAAAGAGAAACTACATAATTTTGTTAAAATACACTTTAAAAATATTTCTTATAACCTCTTTCAATTAAATTTCCATAAAGTTTTGGAATTATTTTTTTCTATTTTGAGGCTTTCTAATTTCTCGGTCAAGGGGGAGTAAAACTGAGATAAAGCTAAAGCTACAAGGTTAACACACATTTTCTTCTTTAATCTGAACTCAAGAGCAAGGACAGAGCGTGAGGACTTACTTTGAAAGTTCTGTCATTTCTTCATCATAAATTCTCTTCCTATCAGACAGTTCATCCGACAAATACCGAAATGTTAATTCTTCAGCCAGAACAGTTATATTAACATTTCTGCTTGCCAACAACTGTAACAAAAGAAAATGTTAAATAACACCACATGGTAATTAATACTAAAGAGCAAAGCACCCTCTTCCTTGTTGACAGAGGTCAACAAAGGTAGAGCGTTGTGGTCTTCGAGAAGACAAAGGGCATGGGGAGATGAGAGCATGGAGGTCAGCCTGTGGCAGGGATGGGGGACAGGGCAGTTCCTTCCCATGGGAAAAGGGCAGGAGAAGGTGTTCACCTGGAGGAAGGATGAGGCAATCTCAATCCTGATGGCTTCTAGATTTTCAATCAAGTATCATAATGTCAGGGAGGGGTGCAGCAGTGAGTTGGGATACGTTGGGAGAGAAGAGAAAAATGAAATAATCATCTTGCAGAGTGAAAAACTGAAGTTACTAGAAAGAATAGTAAGAATGACTACTAATGTTTTCAGTCCAAGATTTCAGATTATAAATTTAAACTGAAACCAATCTTCCCAATTTTGTGGTTTTTCTCTTGCTTTGCCATGTTACTTATACAGACGTGTAAAAAGCATGGCTGACTTTATTCGGGTTGAGAAAGGGAGTAAGAGACCAAGGAATTAAATAAAGCTGGATATGAAGGGAAAGTAGGTGGAAGTTGAATTACAAAGTGCTAGGATCAACGGGTGGAAGGTTCACATGTGGCTCAAGAACTATTACCCTGGGTGTGTGCACCGTTTTTCTCTTAGGCATATGAATTTGCAAACAACAGCTCTTTTTCACGGACACTTAAAACTTAAGGTACCGACTGCGGATGCTTCATGGAAACTAAGTTAGGCCTTAAAACAGCAATCACTACAGGTCGTGTCTACACTGCACTAACACAGAAGCGGGGTCACAGGAAGGTTAAGGGACCAGCGCAGAGCCCCCGGGGCACAGCCAGGACCCCAGGCCTGGTGGGCTTCCGTGTGCTCCTGCTGCTTTGGTAACTGGCTGCACTGCTGGCTCTACGTACGTCTCACACACTTAGGTCTGCGTGAGTCCTGACACGCTGCCGGGTTTCCCTTCAGCCTGCGTGAACAAGCTACCTGTACTGTTGTAACAGATGAGAATCAGGAGTTCAAGCACTGGAAACAACTGTGTGTGGGAACCTCAGTCACAGCATAACCAGCAGAAACAAGTTTCACTTAGTTCACGATACTACTTTGTAATTTTCATTATTAATCACATAGGCATTTTATAAACTGTCAGTTTATGGTACCCTTTTACCGAAGAGTAGGGCAATAAAATCTGCTTTACTTGACATTATGTTAACCAAGACTTCTGTCCATACACAGATAATCGATAATTCATATTTATAGTAATGCATGTGAGGAAGTCTAAACTCATGAAGTGATTTCTGCATTGAAGAAGGATCGAATTACGATTCCGGATTTTAGCTAGTGTTGTTATATGCTAATTTCTGGAACATTGGCAATCTTCGTATAGCTCACGCGTAATCATTCCTTCAACAAAGATTTCTGGAACCTCTAGTATGTGTTCTGGTCCCTGGAGACAGAGTGAAAATCAGACAGAAGTCATCTCTGTCCTTAAGGAGCTCATATTCAAGTGCCACCTGCAGACACCGCTTCATCACACAGCCCCCTGCAAGGCAGCACTGAACAAAGAGGGGAATGAAGGCTCTGTGGTACAAACCGTGGTCCCAGACATGCATTTCACTCTGTGAGGACAGGCAAGCATCTCCACCAGGGTTGTACCCACTGGCCCAGGCAACTATGGCTGACAAGGTAGCAGGCAAGATGCTATGTCATCGTTAACAAGAACAGACAGCAAACACCCTGGAGTAGATCCACATAGGAACCACCAAAGGAAACCGCTATGTAGACTCAAAAAGCCTCAACCAACATGACACAGTGCATAGCACGATGGCTAATATTCATATTAGAACCCAGAATAACTCAGCAATCAGTATGAATGTAATTTAACATAGCAAGTACATGCATACAATGCTTTAGAAAGGGTTCCATTATAGTAACATTTAAGTTTTAGCAGTAAATTTAAACTTACTTTTAGCAGTAAATTAAAAATTATTTTAAAACTATTAGTTACAATTATTTAACAATTCACTTAAGTCTATCATCTCATTTATCATGTCAGATTTAAAAATCAATTATACAGTACACTCATTTAAAAAAACCACTTTATCCTATTTAAGATGCAGTGAGGGGCTGGCTCAGTGGCACAGTGGTTAAGTTCGCACATTCTGCTTCTTGGCGGCCCAGGGTCCACTGGTTTGAATCCCAGGTGCAGACATGGCACCACTGCTTGGCACGCCATGCTGTGGTAGGCGTCCCACATATAAAGTACAGGAAGATGGGCACAGATGTTAGCTCAGGGTCAGTCTTCCTCAGCAAAAAAGAGGAGGACTGGCAGTAGTTAGCTCAGGGCTAATCTTCCTCAAAAAAAAGAAAGATGCAGTGAGTGAGTTTAATCTCCAGGAGGTAATTAAGGCAAACATAATTAGTATCATTTTATGGATGAAAAAATAAATCCCCTCCCTGACAAAGAAGTAACTTCCTTCATGGAAAGTTAGTGTACCAACTGGACCAGAGCCCAACACAGTTGATACAGATTCATTATTGAAAAATTGATCAGAAAGCCTTCAGCTTTTAAGTGTTGTTTACTGTATTTATCATACCTACCATATGGATTTAATAGTTTATATTTGGGTTTGCTGTAAGTGCCGTGGAGTCAGACAGTGCTCTGCTGCTATTCACAGGGTTTTCATGGCCAATTTTTTCAGAATTGGGTGCCCAGGTCCTTCTTCCCAGTCTGCTGAAGCTCTGCTGAAACCTGTCCACCATGGGTGACCCTGCTGGTATTTGAAACCCTAGAGGCAGAGCTTTCAGCATCACAGCAACATGCAGCTGCCACAGTATTACAACCGACGGATGGTGTGGTTCCCTGAGCGGGAAATGAACCCAGGCCACAGCGGTGAGAGCACTGAATCTTATCCACTAGACCCCAGGGTTGGCATATTTGGGTTGGACATAATTAAATAGCTTCTCCATGGAACTTAGGTTTCACTGGTTTTGATTTCGGAGAAAAGAGACCTATAACTGACAGCACACCAAAGGGGCTTCCCAGTAGTCAGAAACGATCAAGTCCTCAATCCTACACAAACTGAGCAAGATAATGTGACTCCGCCTTGAGACGAGGTAAAGGAGAGAATCCTTGACACGTTAAGCGCACCATAATGTTATCTCAGTCTTTCATGATTAACGTATGGTAAGGACTCAGTAATGTTATCTCAACTCTTTATAATCAACACATAGTGAGAGCTCCAATAATGTCACCTATTTCCAATGTATCAACCATAATTCGTGCCTGGAAATTTCCTTGAAATTTAGTTGTTTCTGTATCTAAAATTCCTCTGTGTATTCTTCAAGAAATCAGAGAGATGAGAAACAGACCTATCTTTGATTGGAGAAATCTGACTTTAATAAATGGGTAGCAGAAGCAAAGCCAACCCATGAAACGAGCGGCTACCAAGGGATGAGAAGAGGGCAGAACCATCTTGTCATTTCACAAGAAATACTTAGTTCCGAAAGTTCTTCTTTGCACAGCAGACAATGTGGTGCATGGTCAAGGCGGCGCTCAAGGCATTTTAGGCAAAAGGTGTGTTCACACGGTGTAGTGACAGGCTAAAAGAACAACCTGGAAAACACATCTGAGTTTTCAGCAAAAAATGTCCAGATGAGACTTTCAAATAATCTGTTTATTTTATAGTAAGAATTCCTTAGGCAATTCCCTTACTTTCTGGAACTCACTTATATCCATTTCCATTTGTATTTTTATCAAATTTTTAAAAAATAAATCAATTATTACTGAGATATATGTAATTTTTCTGATAATAAAAAGATCATTATGTTTAGGATATAAAATTCAGGAAAGCTGAATTCTTCAAAGAGTTGCATTCACTCTACGTGATCCTACCTCATGCAAAGGGCACACTCAAAGTCGGTTACATCTATCGAAAGCTCTGGACTTTCTCCTACGTTAGAGTTCATATTTCTTTGAGGTGAGGAATCTGCCTCTGAAAACATTTAAAATGCTATAATTAATACTTGCACATCTGGCTAAGAGCAAGCAGTAACTGTATGTCCTCTGGATAGTTACACCAATGTAACAAGCCACACCGGGCAGGAGGAGCTCCTGTCGAGTTAACAGTATACAGCTATAACTGATCTAGACAGTAAGCATGAATAAAAGTTGGTACACCTAAATTTTCTCTGCTATTTTTGACCATCAAGTCCTTGAAGGATTAACCATTTAAACTGTTCTATAATCTTAAGGCTGATATATTCACTTCCTCATTAAATTTAAACTACCTGTGTAAAGTTTTTTTTTTAACTATACTGAATATTAGCTAACATTCTATCCCTCTGGAGTCACACAACTCCAGGAGAAAACAGTTTACTGACCTTTCTTGGGAATTTTTCCAGGGGCCTTCAGGTCACGCGCATCCTCCAAATCACTCAGAAACTCTCTCTTTAAACCAGCGCTGGGCGCTACTGCAAGGACACTTTCTAACACTTCTTTATCCTCCTCAAAGTGTAGACCCAGCACAAAACATAAAACTGAAGAATTCACATTTTTAAACACATCAGATTTCTCAGATGCATTCTGGTTAAGTAGAAAAAAAGAATCCTAACTATTAAAGAAATCACAACATAAGACAAAACAAACTCATGCAGTAGCCTTGCCTAGAAATTTCGGAAAGAAGAGGGCTTATACTCTTCCTTCATAATTGGTTTCATCTATTAACTTCTAAGATGAACTTTCCATTTTTCATGGTAAAATATAGGATCATTTCTTCCTGGGACAGATCAATTGAACATCAATCTTCATATCTTCAAATCATCCGCTGCTTTCTTTTCTCCAGGCCAAAATAATTTCAAGCCTCCTGATGTTTTGGGTTGTTTGGAGATGTCCAAAAGTCTCTTTTATCTTCAATCATTCTCCTTAACTTCCACCAACTTCCTTTAAAACTTTCAACTCTCAAGTTGAGGAGCTAGAACTGGTCTTGAGAAGTACTTCTAACATCATGCCACAGTCTGAATAACTTGTAAACGCTCAAAATCAAGGAATTACATAAAGCTTGACAAACACAACCACGTCATACCTTAGAGCGCCCTGCATTATCAGCTTCTTCCTGGGGAGGCTGGGTGTTGACACGGCTGCAACAGTGAGCCTTTAGTCTGGGGTTCAAGATCCCACCTTGGACGGAAGATGTTATATTTGGACACATGTTTTCTGAAGCTGGAAAAAACACCTCACACGTTACCTACAAAATTGTCACGAAGAAAAAAAGTATTTTACAACACTTTTGAAAAATATATAATACGCCTATACATTCAGAGGAAACTATGAGGCCAAATAGGCCTAAAACATCGAAAAGAATAACTACCATATTCCAATTGACAATATTTAAAATTCAAACATTTCTGAAACCACAGTCAACGTTTTAAGCACTTTAGCTCTCAGTCCCTTTCCATATTAGTCTTAACAATTACGAAATATGAGCCTTACACTTTCCTTCTGTATGGTCCTCACACATCTCCAGAAAATCTCCCCTAAAAGTCTCATGAATAAGAGAGAAAAGTGGGGTGTAGAGGTTGCAGGGGTCTCAGATTAAATCTAAACTGTGATCGCCCACAGGAGTGAGATTATTTCTAGAGGACGGCTCAATTTACAAGAGAAACAGAAGAGTCACCTAGTAAGAACTTGAAAGGAAGAGAAGGTGAAACGCCGTAATTCTAGTTGAAGAACCGTGAACCGGCTTTCAGTGGTGGTGGGAAGTGACTGCCAGTCAGTCGATGGTCCTGTCAAACCCAATGGACTCAGCTGAATCCAAGGGCCTGAGACAGGCAAAAAGGAGTGACTGACACCTCAACGAGTCCCCCCGCTGTTCTTCATGTGACAGGTGAGTGCACCAGAACCCTGACCTCTGTAGCAATGAGGAACAGCATCTCAGCAGGGACATCGGTGTCCTCAGCACTGGCTCTGAGGAGCTTCAGCAGAGCTGCGGGAGGCTGCCAGGGAGGGTACCATGTTTCATGGGCATCAACAGGCTGGCAGTGTTTTGGCACTGTCTGTGATACGAGATACCTATCACCCATAGAATGCTGGAGGAAAAAACACCACGTCTGAAAAAGCCCCAGACAGACAAGAATGCACAAGACCTAAATTCCGGTCTTGGGACCTTCGTGAATCTGCCTAATCTCACTGAGCTCAGGCGGAATTTTAGGCTGTTCTAAGGATCACCTGAGATAAGATATGTCTTAAGATTCTTGTAAGATTTTTGAGTGGGACAAAGCAGGCAGGAATAGTTAAAATAGTCAACTCAAGACTGAATATTATTTTGACAAGTTGAAATAATAGCCAAAACCAATGAGCTACAACTCAACAGGATTAACAAAGACCAATTAACTGGAAAAAAAAAAAGGGATAAAAATATGCTAGAGGGGCTGGCCCCATGGCTTAGCGGTTAAGTCCGGTGACTCGACTTTGGTGGTCCAGCTTCAGTGGTTTGGACGTCAGGCAAGGACCTACATCACTCATCAAGCCATGTTGCACTGGTGACCCACACAAAAAACAGAGGAAGACTGGCACAAATGTTAGCTCAGAGCAAATCTTCCCCACCAAAAAAAATTTTTAAATATACCACAAAGTTCTCATTTAAAAAAATTACCTAGGTGTCTGGCTAACTAAAGTTCTAAGGGGAGCCAAGAGTGTGACGGTATCAGGCTAAAAATAAACAAACACACCTCAGGACATGAACACAAGGGCAGGTAAGAGTTCACCACCTATTGCTGCCAGATGTGGGTGCTGAAACTTGGGGTACACTGGAATGCATCCAGGGGAGCAAACTTTACAACCCTGTTCTACGAGAAAAGGATGTTTGGTCCAAAGAATGACTGAAGGCAAAGATAACAGGTGTTCTCAAATATCTCAGGTGGCTTAAAATGAAGCTGGAAGAACTGACCTCATTTTCTTTTGATCCAGAAAACAAAACTAGACTGTAAAGTGGAAATTACACGGTAACTGTGCAGTAGAAGTTGGCAATAAATAGCATTAGACGAGGGAAACGCAGACAGAAAAACAAGAACTCCTGGGCATGGGAAGCACTGAGGCTGTGTAACAACGGTATAGCCTTTTTTACAGAGTGGATTCTTACATTAAGTGTGACTTGATGACTTCCAATAAGACTGGGTGAAAGATTAGCATAAAAGAGCAGCTATTTCTGCATCGTGCTGGTGAAGCTTTGCTGAAAATTTCAAGTCAACCTGTGTAGCTAAATTGATCTATTTTGTATACATCACTGCCTTTCATAAATTCCTGTACAAACTTTAACACCTGAAATTACAAACTCTAGGAAAAACCACTTTGCCTCCCCGGCCTCAAACACCCTGCCTCACTAGTAGGCGTCGTTCTCTCAGCAGAACTGAGGTGTGTGTGCCGTCTCACGGAACATTCCGCTTTGTCCACGGATCAAAGGTGTCAAATGCATGACCCTTATCATTACTTCTGCGTTTTTAATCTCACTGCCACGAATACTCAGAATTCTACTTCTTGTGCATTTTACATGCAGGAGCTACTCCGCAGGGACACGAAGGCTGTAAATAAGACGTAAAGAAGAACTTTAAAGTCACTTAAAGGAAACCACACCTCCTGTGCTGCTTTCTTCACTGCGCTACACTCGGGATTCAAAGCGAGGCAGTAGAGAAACTCCATCAACACCTCCTTACTTCTTCCCAACCCAGACAGGGCCTGAGCTTTCACATGATGTCCCTGGATTCAACAAAAGACAAGACAGACAGTTAGGAAAACAGTGTGATTATATACTTGCATACACACAGCCCTTAAATAAACCATTAGAACTACGTTTTATTTTCACATTAGTAAGAATAAACAAAAACCCAGAGGTTGGCGCTAGTTGTACCACCTCGGAAACTGAGCGAACCTGAATGTCTCATGAACACAACGCACAGTCAGAACAAGGGAGTCACCAGACCTGGAATCTGAGTCCAGAGCAGCTCCAAGGGACACGCTGAGAGAGAACTGGCTGTCTATCAACTTTAAATTCACGCAGGAACCACAGGTCACGACCACGTTCCCGTCTTCAAGGAGCACAGTCTTGTGAGAGAAGATAGACAGGACCAGAAACAACTATAACACAAAGCATGATACCCAAGTACCACAGCAGAAACAAACAAAACGCAACATGGGTCAGTATTTTCCAATACCATTCTGTTTTCGTTTCATGGATGCAATATTTTCTCAAATCAATGTAAATATTGTGGTTTCTTCATTTTACTAATTCACGCATTATATATCCATTGGGTCAACTGTTCTGATTATTTATTTCAGTCTTCCTCTTCTATACTATTCACTTTTTTCTTGTTGATCCCTGGTTCTTTGTTCATACTTAAGAAAAATGGACTGCTTCCAGGCGGCTTTCTCTGATACGGAGTCAGCTACGCCTCTGTCCTCACAGACCTCATTGTTAAAGGGAAGACTTACGGGGTCCTCTGTCCATGGGTGAGACCCATTTGGGAGGTTTTATTTTAGGTGTGTGGCAGGGAAGCCAGGCCTGGGAGCCCCATAAGCCGGGATTTAGAGGGATTTACTCAGGGAAACCTGCCACATTCACTGGCAGCCTTAATTTTCCTCAGGCAGTTTGTTCAAATTCTTCGGAAGGGGGGCCCTAGGACTTTTTCCCACTACTGCTCTCCATAGCAGAGTGAACTGGCACTGTAGAGCCTACCCCATTTCTTACTCCCATCCTGGAGTCTGTAATACGACATAGCTCAGCTCCCAGCTGAACTGTAACATCCGCTGGTCTTTCGTCCACATTCCAAAAGTTTGTTGAACTTTCCAATCCCATAAATATTCCCCATTCTCTTCCGTTATGGACTTAATTCTTGTTTATAATTTCTTACTGTCACATTTTTAGTTAGGTATAATTTATATAAAATAAAGTTCACTAATTTTAAAGGTACACCAATTTCTTAAATGTATAATGTGATGGGTTTTGACAATGTATACAGTTGTGTAACTACAACCACCATTACGGTACAGCACATTTCCATCACCCCAAAAAGTTCTCTGGTGCCCTTTGACGTCAATCTCCTCCCCACTCCAAGTCCAGAAACCACTGCTCTGTCACTACAGTTTTGCCTTTTTGAGAACTTCATGTAAAAGAAATCACACACACATATTGTGTGTGCCTTCCTTCACTTACTGTGATGCTTCTGAGATCCATCCACGTTGACGCACAGATCAACACTTCATTCTTTCCTACCAACAAGTAGGGTTCCATTGTAGGAATATACTACAATTTATTTATTTACACGTTTTTTAAAATTTTTAAAAAGAAATTTTATTAGTTTCATAGCCCTTTGTTCAGGCAAGTAACACGTGACGCACCAGAAAGTTATAAGTTACCCGACCTTGCTCAAATCAGCAGCTACAACGGGTCACGTGCATTGCAGGTCACTCAGTCCATCTCCTTGAAATGTCTCAGGAATGACAGGTTTTGGTAGTTAAAGTGAACAGAGAAAAAATGGCTGTCACAGAGCCCAAGATGAAGAATTTAATCTCCTCCAGATGTTAGATAGTTGAATTCCTTTCTTCATCGAGATTTACTGAAGAATAACTGACAAATATAATTGCATATAAAGTGTCCAACATGATGACTTGATACGCATATACACTGTAAAACGATTACCATGATCAAGATAATTAACACCCCCACTACCTCACGTAGTTAACTCTTTTTCTGTGTTTTTGATGAGAATGCTTAAGATCTACTGTTACCAAACGTCAAGTATGCAACACCATATTATTAACTATAGTCAACTTGCAATACATACATCAGATCCTCAGAACTCCCTCTTCTTACAACTGAAAGTTTGTACTGTTTGACTTACATCTCCCCATGCCCCCCTCACCCCAGCCCCTGGCAACCAACATTCTATTCTCTGTTTCTATAAAATCAGCTTTTTTTTTTTTTTTTAAGATTCTGCATACAGTGATACCATACAGTATTTTTCTTCTCTACTTGGCTTATTTCATTAGCATGATGCCCTCCGGGTTCATCCATGTTGTTGCTGCATAAATAGCAGGATTTCCTTATTTTTTTCCAATTATTTTATTGAGGTCATATTGGTTTATGCCATTGTAAAATTTCAGTTGTACATTATTATGTATCAGTTTCTGTACAGACTGCATCATGCTTACCACCAATAGTCTAGTTTTTACCCATCACTGTACATATGTGCCCCTTCACCCTCCCCTCCGATAACCATTAATCTGTTCTCCTTATCCATATGTTTGTTTTATCTTCCACATGTGAATGAAATCACATGGGGTTTATCTTTCTGTCTTGCTTATTTCACTTAACATAATGCCCTCTAGGTCCATCCATGTTGTGGCAAATGGGACGACTTTGTCTTTTTTCATGGCTGAGTAGTATTCCATTCTGTGTGTGTGTGTGTGTGTGTGTGTGTGTGTGTGTGTGTGTGTGTGTATCACATCTTCCTTATCCATTCATCAGCTGATGGGCACTTGCACTGCTTCCAGGTCTTGGCCACTGTGAATAATGCTGCAATGAACATAGGGGTGTATATAAGTCTCTTTGAATTGTTGATTTCAAGTTCTTTTGGTAAAGATCCAGTAGTGGAACAGCTGGGGGGTATGGTATTTCTCTTTTTAAGTTTTTGAGAAATCTCCATGCTGTTTTCCATAATGGTTGCACCAGTTTGCATTCCCACCAGCAGTGTATGAGGGTTCCCTTTCCTCCACATCCTCTCCAACATTTATTGCCGTTTGTCTTGTTAACTACAGCCATTCTGACAGATGTAAGGTTCTCACTGTAGCTTTGATTTGCAGTTCCATAATGATTAGTGATGCTGAACTTCTTTTTATGTGCCTGTTGTAAATTTGTAAATCTTCTTTGGAAAAATGTCTGTTCATATCCTCTGCCCATTTTTTGATCACATCATTCTTTTGTTGTTAAGTTGTATGAGTTCTTTATGTATTTTAGAAACTAACCCCTTGTCAGATACACAACTTGCAAATATTTTCTCCCAGTTGGTAGGGTGTCTTTTCATTTTGCTCATGGTTTTCTTTGCCTTGCAGAAGCTTTTTAGTCTGATGAAGTCCCATTTGTTTATTCTTTCTTTTGTTTCCCTTGCCTGAGTAGACTGGTATTTGAAAAGATACTGCTAAGATGAATGTCAACGAGTGTACTGCCTGTATTTCCTTCTAGGAGTTTTATGTTTCAGCTATTACATTCAAATCTTCAATCCATTTTGAGTTAATTTTTGTGAATGGTCTAAGATAATGGTCTACTTTCATTCTTTGCCACATGGCTGTCCAGTTTTCCCAACACCATTTACTGAAGAGACTTCCCTTTCTCCATTGTATGTTCTTGGCTCCTCTGTCGAAGATTAGCTGTACACGCGTGGTTTTATTTCTAGGCTTTCAATTCTATTCCATTGATCTGTGTGCCTATTTTTCATCAGTACCATGCTGTTTTGATTATTACAGCTTTGTAGTATCTTTTGAATCAAGGATTGTGATGCCTCTAGCTTTGTTCTTTCTTCTCAGGATTTCTTTGGCTATTTGGGGTCTTCTGTTGTCCTACATAAACTTTAGGATTCTTTGTTCTATTTCCATGAAGAATGTCATTGGGATTCTGATTGGGATTGCACTGAATCTGTAGATTGCTTCAGGTAGTATGGACATTTTAACTATGTTTATTCTTCTGATCCATGAGCACAGAATATCTTTCCATTTCTTCACGTCTTCCTCAATTTCTTTCAATAATGTCTTATAGTTTTCAGTGTATAGATCTTTCACCTCCTTGGTTAAATTTATTTCTAGGCATTTTATTCTTTTTGTTGCAATTGTAAATGAGATTGTATTCTTGACTTCGCTTCCTGCTAGTTCATTATTAATATACAGAAATGCAAGGTGATTTTGTACCTCATGACTTTGCTGTAGTTGCTGATTACTTCTAGTAGTTTTCCGCTAGATTCTTTACAGTTTTCTCTATATAAAAGCATTTCATCAGCAAAAAGCAAGAGTTTTACTTCTTCCTTGCCAATTTGGATATCTTTTACTTCTTTTTGTTGCCTAATTGCTCTGGCCAAAACCTCCAGTACTATGTTGAATAAGAGTGGTAAGAGTGGGCACCCTTGTCTTGTTCCTGTTCTTAGAGGGATGGATTTCAGTTTTCCCCATTAAGTATGATGTTGGCTGTGAGTTTGTCATATATGGGCCTTTATTATGTTGAGGTACTTTCCTTTTATACTCATTATATTGAGAGTTTTTATCATAAATGGATGTTGGATCTTGTCAAATCCTTTCTCTGCATCTATTGAGATGATGACGTGATTTTTGTTCCTCATTTTGTTAATACAGTGTATCACATTGATTGATTTGTGGATTCTGAACCATCCCTGTGTCCCTGATATAAATCCTACTTGATCATGGTGTATGATCCTCTTAAGGTATTGCTCTATTCAACTGGCTAATATTTTGTTGAGGATTTTTGCATCTATGTTCATCAGTGGTACTGGCCTGTAATTTTCCTTCTTTGTGTTGTCCTTGTTTGGTTTTGGGATCAGTGTGAACTTGGCCTCACAGAATGACTTAGGAAGCATCACATTCTTCTTCAATTTTTCAGAATACTTCAAGAAGGATAGGTAGGTATTAAATCTTCTTTGAATGTTTGGTAGAATTCTCCAGAGAAGCCATCTGGTCCTAGACTTTTATTTTGAGAA